GCTGTCATCCTTAAACCTCTTTTCGGTTCAGGCCCCAGGTTATATTTTGAACAATTTAGACAGGGAAAGGAGACTGCAATCCATCCAGTTAGGCAGATGGGAGATTTACACAGCAAAGATATTCCCAGAATTATTTCTTAAGTACACAAGTGAGCTGAAAGAACAGGTCATTCTTCAATGACAGGCTCCTACCCTGGTCATGGAGTTACAAGGACTTTATAGGATGCCATTTCGGACTGCCTGCTCCCACCCAGCTCTGTGGAAGATCCACCACATGGCTCTCAAGGCTTGGGTATCAACTCTTCCGCACATGAGCAGAGCAGCACCTCACTCACCATGTCGCTGTTTCCAAGTTCTTCCACTCTCTCCACACAGCTCCTTTCAGCAGAGGTCACAGCACAGAACTCCAAACCACTCCTGCTTGCTCAGCTATGGATCCCAGCCTGCAACATGGAGCCTGGAAGAGCCCTCCTCCCCCTCTGACTGGTGGTCTGCCTGGAGATCCTGATTGGCTAGTGAGGTCTGAGTGACATGAGCACCTCCCTTAGGGTTTGAATGTGCTCAAGGGCATAGCACAACAGGTTCTGGCTTAGGCTTTCAAGCCACGCCAAGACTTTTCCCAAGTATGCAGAGATTTGCATTTCAATAGCACTTGCACCTGGCTGCCAAGAGCTGATGCTCTGTCTTCCAGCACTCCTTAGTCATTTACCATCTTTCTCCTGGATACAAGCTGGTTAGTTTGCACAGCTCATTACACAATGTGGTGTGGAGTGAACTTCCTGTACCACAGACAGAAGGGTGCCAGGAATATTAACAACTAAAGAGAGATTTTAAGGACACAAAACAAGGTTTTTGTTCCATGGCTTGAGTTCAGGTGAACTGCAGGTACTTTTTCCCTACTAGGCTCAGGGACTTCAGACAACACTTACAGGAAAGCAGGAGCCAGACCACAAACACTGTGATAAGTCTAGGCTGGATGATGGCTCTGTCATACCCAGGTCGCAAGACCACCAAGGAGCCAATATCCAATGCAAGCACACAGAGGTTTTTTAACAACACAAAACGCA